CCAAAAAAAAAAAAAAAAAGAACTGATCTAGAAGAGAGTTTCAGTCACTCCTGCCCACGTCTCCTTGTGAGAGTGTCGTCATGAAGCCGCACCTGGCACGAGGGCGCTGGGAAGCATCCTTACTGGGTCAGCGTGAACCCAAGCTACCTGGTGAGCCAGCCTGGTCTTCACAGCTGCTGGTGAGTCACTGGGCGCAGGAAGACGCTGAGAGGCCAATGGAACCAGCTCTGAGCTGTGGGGAGGTGCCCTGACATGCTGGTACCTCTCTAAAGGATTCAGCGACCTGGTGTCACTGCTGGACCTTAGTTCTCAGGGTCATTCAGTTCACACTCCCAACACCAACCGGCTTAATTAAAGGGAGCCAACTGGCTGTCAGCTTCAGGCACAGCTGGATCCAGGAATCAGTGCCGTATGGAGGTGGTCTGACTCCGTCTGCTTCTCGTGTTTGGCCGCACTCCCCCTCCACAGTAGCCGGAGGCGGAGGCTGGCCGTTCCCGGTGCTCCGCTGGACTGCGGCTCCAGCAGAAAGAACCCTCTCCCTCCTGCGAACTCCAAAGCAATCTCCTGGCCGGTTACTGGCCAGACTTGATTTCCATGCCTCTCCCTGGACCGGGAGAGTGGAGATGTTGACAAGTCAGGCCTGAGAATACGTGTGTCCCAGAGTGCCCGTGTGTGCATGTGCAAATGTGTGTGTGCACAGTGACTTGTTGGGCCACCTCCCCCCAGACCACATGTGCGAGGAGCAGGCCTGGAGAGGGGCCCCAGAGGAAAATCAAGGCTAACAGAGAGGGCCGGGTGGTGGGCAGGTGAGGCTGATGGGCCGCCGTGAGCACCCTGCAGGACGGCACCGCGGTCCCCACGGTGCTCAGCCTGCCCCAACTGAGCCTGCTCGTGGGAGGCTGCCGGACAGGGTGGCTGGGCACCATTTGTCCCTGAAAGTTCATTTCAATCCAGGTTCCTCTCCCATGGGGCATGGTCATGCCGCAGCCCCTTCTCTTCCATCTCTCCCTGCTTTAGGGATTTTGGCACGCGCACACAGACGGGTGTGTCTTTAAAGCCACTGGGGCTGGGGCTTGAACTGGGTGATCAGCCACCAGAAATCTGGCTCCCCTAACCACCAGGCCATGGCGACACCCTGTTATTATTCCTTAGTCCTCACGTCCAGGCCCTCCTTGACTGATACGGAAGGAGGCCGAGAGTCTCATTCACGTTCCGTGGGCACACGGCTTGCTGGTGATGGGGCCGGGACTCAGCCAGGGCTCTGGTCACTGTTTCCATCATGCCTGTCCTGTCTGGACGAACCCTGCTCCAACCTCCCCTGCCCTGTCCCCTCTCACAGGAAGTCCATCAGCAGGAGCTCAGCGAGGTCGCGGGTGCCGGCCAAGTCCCCTAAGATGTACGGCACGCTGAGGAAGGGTGCGATCTGCCCCGACCCCAAGCCCCAGCAGGTGAAGAAGATCTTTGAAGCGCTGAAGAGAGGCCTCAAGTAAGGGCGGCCGTTTGCCTTGGCCCAGTGCAGTCCTCCGCCCACCTGCTCCGTCCAGCCTCCCCGGGGAAGCATGGCGGGAGCACCGTCTGGCAGAGGTGGCTCAGGGAGCTCCTGGCTCTTGTTTGACCGACACGCACCGCACGCACGAGCTGGTGCAGCTGCAGCCCAGTCCTGCCTTGCCGGCTGGGCCCGAGACAGATAAGGTGGAGGGCTCTGGCTTGTGGCGCCCCCTGCAGGGGAGTGGGCGGCAGTGAGGAGGTGCAGCCACAGGGACCTGGGAATGGCTGCTGCAGGGAGGGCTGGCAGAGGATTCCCGAGGCCCAGCACTGAGCTGCTCCATGCCCCTGGGCCCCCCCAGGGCCTGGCTCCCTGTGCCAGGGCTCCCCTCGCCCTCCTGCCACCACCCCCGAGCTCGGCCCTGGTGCAGAGAGCTGAGGGTTGTGGAGGATGGAGGCCTCCCCTCCAGGCTCACCTCCCAGGACAGCATCTACTGTCCTCGAGGGACCCAGGCTTGAGATTTGTCTGGGGCCAGTGGCACCCCCTTCTTCCTGGGGGCCCATGACCCAGCAGAATTTTCCCATCCGTTTGACGTGGGGCCCAGAGAGGGTGAGTGGCCTTTCTGGGGCCTACAGACTCCCCCAGAGCTCCTGGCGCAGTGCTGGGTAGAGGCTTGGTCTGGGCTGGCCGGGTGGGCGGGGCTGGGTAGGCGGCCACGAGCCTGCTGCGGGCCATGGCTGCTCTCACCCAGGCGCAGGCCGGCCCTGGCCTTTCTTGTGCTCCTTCGGGATTTAAGACGTGCCCCGCTCCCTCCAGGGAGCACCTGTGCATGCAACAGGCGGAGCTGGACTACCTGGCTGGATGCCACAAGGACACCCAGAGGAGCTCCAGACTGGTGAGACCCTCCCCGCCTCTCCCGCCTCAGCGGCCTTGCCTGGGGTCCCCGGGCAGCCCCTCTCTGACCCCCCGCTCACGTTGAGGGTGTGACCCTCTGTCTCAGAACCCAGAGGCTTGAGGAACAGACCATTTGGTGATAAAGCAACTTCACTTTGACCCCAACGCTGTGACCTCACAGGCCGTGCAGCAACTCAGGGCGTCTCGGGCCCGCTGCCCACCCTCTGCAGTCCTAGAAGTAACCGTGGTAGGCAGGTGCAAACGGGGCCTGTCTTAGCTGGCCTGTTTTATTGATCACGGCATTAGGGTGCCCTGGAGTCAGGGATGCCACAGAGGCTGCTGCTGCTGTCCTTGATCAAGTCCCCCCATTCCTCCACCTCTGGCCCCTTGGCAGTTTTTCTGCCATCAGTGGGCAGAATTTCAAGGCTGACCCTAGGCCCTGTCTAGTCCATGGTGCACCTGATTCGGGCCTCTGCCACCCCCTAGCAGAACCAGACTTAGCAACGAAATGGCAGAACGAAAAAGGATGCCCAGTTGGGGCCAGCAGGTGGCATGGCGGTTAAGGCACTGGATTCCCACCTGTCCAACTAAGGTTCAAGTCCTGGAACTGCCTTGAAAATCACGCCAAACATGCATGCCTGCCCAAGATGCCAGGAAAAGAATGGGTGGCAGTGTGTCCCCACCCCTGGGAGATTTCTTGCTTTCCCTCTCACTGTCTCTTTGTCTCTCTCTGGTGAGCACATATATGTGCCCTATGGCAAAAAAAAAAAAAAAAAAAAAAGGATGCCCATTTAAATTTAGTTTGTGTGTGTGTGTGTGTATATATATATATATAGAGAGAGAGAGAGAGAGAGAGAGAGAAAATATTCCATGTGATCTTTGGAATATATACTGGAAAAACTGTCGTTGCTTATCGGGAATTTCGATTTTAACTAGGTGTCCTGTGTCCCATCCAGTAACACTGGTGGGTCTCACTGCTCAGGGATCCCCACCCCCAGCTGGGAGGATCTTTCTTTCCAGCCTGGAAGGTCCCTCCTGGCCTTCTCTGCTGCACCCCACGGCTGCCTTGGGAAAACCCCACCTACCCTTGATGGCTTCGATTTTGGAAACAAATGCGAGTGGGCCTCCTGCCCATGGATTCTCCTCCAACCAGGGTATCCCGGGGGACCCTGTCGTAGTACCCGAGTCCAGAGCCGCCATTGGCGTGGTTGAGGGACTGGCAATCGGAGGGTGGGGGGTCTTCCTGCCACTCTGTGCCCTGGCGCTGCGGGAGAAGACCGCAGGGTGGGCGGGTGGTAGCCGTCAGGGCCCGGCCTCGTGGGTGCGCCAGCAGCGCAGGAAGGAAAGGCCTGAGGACTCAGCCACGCCTTGGCCTCCGTGGTTGGCCGGGCGGGCAGCCAGCGCAGAGGTGGGGAGGCACCGCCGGGACCCCTGCCCCAGCTCTCAGGACTGACCCCTTCCTCACTGGGTGCACTGGTTGCCCCCTCACACTGCCCCTCCCCTCGCCTTAGTTCTAGAAGTCAGTCTGTGACAGGAGGGTGCAGAAGGATGCAGACGTTGGCTGCCCCCACCTCCTAAACGGTCGCCCCGAGGCTGGGGAGGGGACCGCCCTGCAGCCACATGGTGGGGCGCCGGCAGACACAGGGCAACGCTTCCCGCACACTGCTGAGACCCGTTTAAACCAGATGGCCATCTCCCCAAAGCTGCTGGGCAGTCGCTCCTTCAACAGGCTGAGGTCTTTCCTATCTCTTTCTTTTTTAAAATTCATTTTTCAAAAAGTTTATTTATTTCTTCCAAGAGACAGAGAGACAGAGACACAGTGCTCCAACAGGGCTCTGACACGCCCCCCCCCGCCAGCTGG